TCTTAATAATATATTTAATTATCCATTCATAAACGAGAATATATATATATATATATAGATTTCATTCAGTATTTTTTTTAATTTTCATATCGTGTTTTCTCAATTCAATAATTTTGAGTTCGACAGTATTTGTTATACAGCTACATATAGCGCTAATTTAAATGCGATATTCTCGTTATAATTCTACGTAATCAAATCAATTTACATGATCATAGGAATAATATTGCCTGGGTCAGAATCACTTCATATATTATGTACATTTTGATGTACTCGGGGCCTTTAGAAAATAATACGTAGTCACCAGAATCTACGAACCATAGGATAAGACCCACATAAATACAAATACCTCAAATTACGTGTCAGGAGGCAGTTTAACAACTCCCTAACTTTAGATATTTATCCCCTACACTTTCATTTATTTCATTGCTACATTGTGTTATTATTATTATTTTATATTTTTTCCAACAAATATGTGTATAATATTACTGTCATTGTAATATTCAGTAGCTATAGAGGTCCTTGTGACAGAGTTCGTCCAGGGATGTACGGCCACCTTACCTATTTCTGCTGCCAAGCAGTAATATCAGCATAACTGTGTTCCGCTTTTGAAGGGTAAGGGTACTAGTGAAATTATAGGCACAAGGGACTTGTCATCTTATGTCTCAGGGCGACAGGCGCAGTGACAGTACGCCTCAGAACTTCGCGATTTAAAGCTCTGAGTGGCACTGCAACTGTTAAGGACAGGCATGTAGATTACCATCAGGCGCACGACTTGTTCGTCCCGTCACTTGATATTATAAAAAAAATTATAATAATAAAATATTAGGCAGAATAAGCGTAGCTAAAATTCGTTTTCTTTATCGTCAACTATACAGTTTAGACAAGTACTATCACCTATAATTGGGATACACCATACGATGTATACCCGTTATAGGTGACAGTACATTAGTAGGAGCACGAGGACACATCCTATTGGTCCTACTAGTAGAGAGAGAGAAGAGCATCAGGACATATTGGTTCTCGTGTTCCTACCAGTAGGAGCATGAGGAAACGGTCATTCTCCCGATTAATGTATCCATCCTACTTTATTTGTGCTCGGCATAATGGGTTACAACAAATTGGCAATCAGAAGAGACTTAACTTCGACTAAGCACATGTTTATGCTATTGCGAGGCATTCAACCCAGCGGTGTTGCAGTTGGTGGGGCTGTGTGTATAAATGGTTTGATTTAAAGTGGTGACATACTTCAATCCCCTGACTGCGCAAGGACGAAGGAAGTAACTGGACGTACAAGTCGCGCGCCTGGCGATAAGCGACACGCCTGTCCATAACAGATGCAGTGCCACTCAAATTTTTTTAAGCCACAAAGATCTGAGGGGGACTGCCACTGCGCCCGTCACTCAGAGTTATAAGTTAAATCCTAAAAACCGGATTCAATACCTAGTTTTCCACGAAGAGCGGTGGAATATTTTTTTCAAATTTAAATGGGGCTGAACTGAGGTGAGAACCTTTCCAACAAAAAAGAAACGTCGTAATCGGTTCACAAATGTCGGAGTGATCACGTAATATTCACAAAAAAAAAGTCGAATTGACAACCTCCTCCTTTTTCCAAGTTGGTTTATAACATAGAAGTCCTTATATGATACCCTGAAGAGCACAGCAAAGGTTAATCTCACCGAATATATAACCAGAAATAGGAACGAAATAAGGGCCATCCACACCTGGCCATTTGTCAGGAAAATGGGACTTGTATCACTTTAAATATCAACTCTCGTTTGCACTGAAATCACAAATTAGAAAGCTGAAATGGTACAGCGCTAACAACTGACCTGTGTGCACGTCTCCGTATATTCCAAAAATATTCTGTATGTATTGTAATAAACATAACATCCTAACTATGGGGGGCTGTTCCATTCGGTGGTGTGGGACAAACAGCAAAACATCTAATTACAAAACAAACAGAATCACATTTCATCGATAATTAAATATTAAATATTATGTAATTTTTCAATTTTCGTCCATTATAGCAAAGCTCAAGTTAAACTGGTCGTTTTGAAGTAAAACACTTGACGGCACCGTCAATTGTTTCGAATTTGGGCTGGCCAATCAGAGCGCAATTGTCACCGTAATGATCTGGCAGTATAGTTTTCAAACAGATTAAATGACATTACGTCTCTATTTCTGGTTCTATACTCGATGGTTAATGTAGTGAAAGTGATGTACTCTATGCTGACTAAGACTTGTGATTCAAAGAGATGGAAATGGGACACAACGAGAGTGCAGATGGAAATTATAGTTATGTTATGGTGCACGAATACACAATACGTTGACAATAAATTAAGTGCAATGCATTCATTATTATAAATAATGTGTAATTACAATAACAACGGCGAGAGTGTCGATGGAAATTAAGCAATGATGTACGCATACACAATACAATGACAATAAACTTAAGTCACATTACGAATAATGTGAATTTACAATAGCAAAATAATGATAAATATTTGTCAAAAACCAAACTTACACGTTCGTTAGTTTTCAGCTAGTGTTTGACCCATAAACCCATGACTCACCAAGACTGGAGTGTCTCTTTGAAGTCATTACTAGCACCTTGTATTTTTTTTTTGTTTTACGCGCCGAATAAGAATGATCTTTTTCCAACGTTTTACAAAGTTTTCTACGTGCATTTCGACGTCCTTTATTGAAAAAAATGTTGAAGTTTATTGTGGCTATATTTATTTTATAGAACATCATATATCATTTTTACTACCATGATAGCCATATATTTTTCGTGAAAATGAGTATTTTAGTGTGGTTTGGTGTTATTATTTATACAACGATTGAACAAACACGAAAAATTCCTTCGGTCCGGCTGGATTAGAACCAGTGACTGTTTGTCAGACCGGGGCTAGCCGCTCTCCCACCAAAGCTATAGAACGAGTCTCTCTTAGAAAAGCGGCTAGCCGATCAAGAATTTTTCAAAGTGAATTTCTCGGAGCTTTGTTTTTGGGTCTAAACGACTTCCTTGTCGTAACGCCGCCTGTGAGAAACCTATGAGAGTTTTCTCTTCTCTCAGCCAGATAACTTTGTTGTGGCTGTGCTATTTTACATGATTTGCAACTTGTTTGTTAGTGATGTAGGAGAGATTACAAAGCAGGTATTAATGATTGTTTTTTTGTTCAATTGATTGGTTTTCGTTGTTATTTTATGGAAACATTGCCTGTGACGACACCATGTTGCTCATATAATAAATATTTCCAATATATATATTTTTTTATATGTATAATATCAAGAAGATGGGACGAAGAAGTCGTACGCCTGATGGTAAGCTACACGCCTGTGCAACGCCACTCAGGGGCACTGCCACTGCGCCCGTCATCCTGAGACATAAGTTGACAAGACTCATACGTACCCTTCAAAACCGGAACACAGTAATGCTGACATTACTGCTTGGCGACAGAAATAGGTAAGGTGACTGTACTTTCCTGGACGAACTCTTTCACAAGGAGCTCTACTGCTATTATACCTAAGCTTCTTTGTAAACCTGTCTACGTCAGTCTACGTATCTAAGTGTATTTTTATTTCCTAGTGTAAATCTAATAAGTGCCACATCCATCTTTAGATTTCAGGTTTGTGTCGTGAGAATGTCCCATTTCGTGCGACACAAAAGGGCTCGTGTCACGGCCGAATGACATAGGCAGTTGCGACTTCGCTACGAAACTACTGACCTGTATTCAGCGAGCATAAGTGTCTTTTAATATCGTTGCCTGTATTACAGGTAACCCTGCTAGCTTTAGAGTTGTTTCTTTGAAATTGCAACTGAAAATACGGCCTTATTAAAATCGATTTAATTAATGATTTTATACAAAAGTGTATCTATGGGGATTTGTTTTGTGGATGACTTTAACTTAGCATATGTAAAGGAGGAAAGGACAGCAAAGTGATAGCCTAGATAGAACAGAACTTACTTCCCATGTAGGAGCTCCTGAGTTCAATTCCCACCGAAAGGCAGCAGTATAGTTCTTTTGTGCAATTTTGTTTATTAATTTATTATTAACCGTTAACGGTAAAAGACAACTTTGTGACGAGACCCACGTGTTGTATTTACGATTTTGTCTTTATTAACGTATTAGCAATGACTGAAACTTTCTTGTTATTAGGAACACGTGTCTAGCAGATAATTTGATGATGATTATAAACGAGGAAGTGATTGGTATTATTTTTTTATCATTATGTAATTAGACTCCCACAAACAGAGACTGCATTTCTATTTTTATTTAATATTCTTTATTGCACTCCAGAATAGTGTAGTTATATAGTAAAAGAATTTTCATCAGAAATTTGTTTCGTTCTTTATAGGTCAAGCATTTTATTATGCATTTTTGTGGACATGACGTGTGTGCTAGCCGAATGTAGATTTAACTATTAGATCTTGATAGAATTATTCTACTTTTGTATCGTAATACCCTATATCTTGACGGCGTTTTTGAGTGAATTGATAGTATTTGTAATATATTTGTTACAACCCTAAATGTAAAAATATAAAATACTGTTTCATAAGTTTTTAATTGAACGTCATGAAATTTCAGCACCATGATAATCAATTATTCTTTTGTGAAATTACTCCACTACTTAGTTTGTTATAATTATTAATACAAAGAACACTTTTCAGAAATAAGTAGGATGTATTACAGGTAAGTAATTTGAAATTGTTATGACTTCTCCATAACGAACTAATTGGTACCCTTTTTTTATAAAAAAAATAAATGCACATTTGATCCCACTTGATGGAAGTGACGACGAGGTCGACAATGGAGCCAAAATAATGTCCATTCACTTTCACCTTGAAACATCCCAAGTTATAGATATGCGTTTAGGGAATAAGTCTGCAAGCAGGGAATTCCACTCTATAGCCGTTCGCCATATAAATGTGGAAGCGAAATGCTTTGTGCCAACCCTCGGAACTCCAACCTACATCTAGAGATAGTTAGTGATTATACCTTCAATTGATGAAGCTGATCGGACAGTCGATGTGACCTGGCTGTATCCATGTCCGATGCGCCATCTGCCCCTGTGTCCACTTCCGCACTCGCCGCACCCTCCGTCGGGAAAGAACCCAGATACTGAAATAACAACAACGATATAAATATTCGAAAATTAAGGAAGATGTAGAATATTATTTATAAGATGTAGAATAATATTTAGTAGTAGTAGAGCTCCTTGTGTAATATGAGTATTACTAAGTTCCAGTTTTTAAGGGTAGTGCTGGAGAAATTACAGGTACATGGGACTTGTCAATTTATGTCTCGAAGTGACGGGCGCAGTGGCAGTGCTCCTCAGATCTTTGCGATTTAAAGCTCAGAGTGGCACTGCAATTGTCGAGGATAGGCGTGTTGCTTACCACCAAGCACAGGACTTGTTCGACCCATTGCTTGATATAATAAAAAGAAAATAAATAAAAAATATAAGTGCGTTGAAAAATATATACATTTTAAGGCTTTCACGGCTACTCAGTAAATGTAATACCACAGTTACAGACGTGTAACCATTGTAACGCTTTTGAAATTAAAATCCTTTTAAAGTAGAGGTAATGGTAGCTTCTGTAATAAGATGCCTGTTGATGTTATAAATTTGCCATTTATAAGGTTTTAAAATCATCGGGAAACAAGAACATTATATAATAGGTTAATACACACACTGGCACGTTTAACTGGCACTAGTCAAATCCCCAAAATAATGCGGGTTTTTTTTTCAAAACCCTGGTAGGTTATCTAACATTTTATTTTACGTATCATTTGATAGTAAAAAACTTTTTTCATTATTTTATTTATATTTCCTATTACTACAGGTTTGTCGAATCGTTCGAGGTTTATTTTGCATTCTTGTAAATTTCGCAAACATTACATGATTTTTTATTATTAACTCACATACCACATAGTGATTAAACTGTTGAAATTTTTAAAAGGCAAGAAATGCTGATCATATTTTTTCTCCTACTCATTCTTCTTAGGTGATTCTGCGTCACAAACGAGTGAAGTACGGTTATTTTTTAATTTTAATAAACATATGTAGAAATAAAAATACCATACCTATCTGTCTGTAAGATAATAATAACAATGTATCAGACAATCCCACTAATTAATTACCCAGTCTGGGAACTAAATTGCCGCCGGGAACATGCAAAAACAACCGCTCCTGAAAGTATTTAAAAATAACTTTCACAGATTTCTCACAGAGGCGCTACGGCAAAGAAATCGTTAAAATCCAAAAACTATGATCGACAACAGGTACTTAGAAAACTTTGTAAGGTCAGTTGGTTCGTTCCGTGGATTAGTGTCAGACATCGCATGCGGTAGACGCTGGCTCTTATCCAGCCGAATCGAAAGAATGTTCTTCTTAATGTTCGTACTCTAATCTTTGTACTAATAATTCTAAGAAACTAGTGGAGCAATTTCTTTTAATTTTTTAAGTAAAAACAGCGTGATATTGAATAAAACGTAATATTACCAATTTAAAAAGTTCGTAACCTAAATTACTCCTATCGGGCATCGAACTGAACCGTTCCTCTGGCGCCCAAGTAGTAACCGCTAACCCACCGAGGTCACCAACAATCAGTCACCACGAAATACATTTAATTATCATCGCCATCACCAAATGGAAATACAAACCTTGTAAAATTGCGATTTTACGACGTGAACAACATTTATTACTCATTATTACTTGAAGGGTGAGTTGCGAGGGTGCATTGAATGACGCGCGGCCATCACTCTTCATTTGTTTGCCGTGAAATATCCACGCAATAGGCGGAAAACAAATTTGTACTTGCAGTCAATAAACGCTCTAATGTCAAAAGAAGATGGTCAGTTGATTAGAAAACAAATTTTTCGTTGCGCAAAGTCTTGTTTGTAATTGTGTAATCCCAATTAATGTACAGCAGTCTATTGTGTGCATAATGCTCCTTGGGTTATAATTAATTTCGACGGGTTGTTTTGCTGTAAAGTTTTGTTTCATCATCTATTTTTGCTATACAAATGAGGAGTAATAAAATTTTCAATGAGAAACTTTTTGCCAAAACGTAGTCACTTGTGTTGAAAAGGCCCACGTAGTAATTGGGAACAAATCTTAGTCAGAAAATACCACATCATAGCTTGTCACGTAAAGTGGAGGTTCCGTTCGTATAGGTGGTAACATACACCGTCTATGTGATAACCTATAACCGAAGCACTTCGCTCCATTAGATAAACATACCAATAACAAAAAGTGGACTCCACACATATTCCAGTTGGTTTCAAATTTTACAGTCAACTATTCTGTGGAAGTTCATGTGAATAGGTTCTTTTTTTATGATACCAAGTGACGAGGCGAATAAGATGTGCATCTGATAGTAAGCGACACGCCTGTCCATAGCCATTGCAATGCCACTCAGAGCTTTAAATCGCAAAGGTCAGAAGGACACTGCCACTACGCCCGTCACCCTGACACATAAGTTGCTAAGTCCCATGAATACAGTTATTCTGTGGAAGTTAAGTCTGCTTGGTCGTGACAGGCATTCATCATCTTTTCGTTTTCATAATCACATAATGCAGCAGGGTAATACGAAACACCTTGTGGGTTTACGGTCTTTCGGTGCATGCCAACCACTGCCGATCGTTCTGTGTTGACAGTCCATTCGACCACAGAGGAAGGGATGAGAGAGTGGATTTGTACATGCACAACTTCTTATTCACTATAATTAAACTCACGCGCAGATCACCCTAGCTATATATTCCGGGTCTGAGCGTTTAAAAGCCCTGCGGCGATGGGGTGTCGGTAGTGGGGTTGAAGTATCCATGTGCCGAGACTCCAGCCGGTTTTTTTTGCAAATTTTGAAATCGATAAGGAGGACTATATATAAGTGGAAGATTAGCGTGCATAGGTGGTAGCATATATCGTATAATATGTGATAATCGAAGTGCTTCGCTTATAGCAAAAAATATACTCCACCCATGTTCCAGTTGGCTTCAAGTTTTACCAACAACTAACTACTGTGTCACAAGAACCTATCCAATTTTGTTGCCTGTGGGTGTATAAATCTTTCTAACAAATAATTAGGGGAAGATCTGTAAATAGTTTGTCAAATTTGTAAACGTAAATATTATGAATTCTCAATTTGAAGTGTCACGTACCGGGATGTATAATCCAACATCAAATATCCCGACGCGTCGTGTTCACCAAACTTAATTAAACACGCCCGTCTCGTACGGTTTAGACTTTAATTGAAACATAACATACTCTAAACTAACACTAGGTTAAACTGTATATAAATTGGTCGACTTTGGCCAAATTGTGTATACAGTACAACAGTGCTTGTGTGAGATGTTATGGTTAGTAGGTGTAATCTTTATTTTTTTCTGGAAAAGACTAATTAGGTATGTATGTTCGTAAGTGATAATTAAAAGGAACGTTACTACACATTACTGCGTTCCGGTCTAGAAGGGTAAGGGTGCTAGTGAAATCACAGGCACATGGGACTGGTCGACTTATGTCTCAGGCTGACGTGCGCAATGACAGTGCCCCTCAGATCTTTGCGATTTAAAGCCCTAACTGTTATGGACAGGCGTGTAGCTTACCATCAGGCGCACGACTAGTTCGTCCAATCACTTGATATTATAAAAAAAAAAATTAAAAATGTCAGTAGCGCTGCAGTAGTGATGCAGTCGCTAATTGTCTACCTTTACACACACGCGCGCGATTTTAAGCAACGATGCAAGCGCGCGACTGCATCGATACAGCTTCTGCCGTTTGCGAGGCGGTGTTAGGATCGAAGGCGATGGCGGTGCGGATGAGGGAAATCGATGTATCCTCCCTTCCGATCAAACGCAGAAGGATTAAGCGCAGGCGGAAGGCACATATCCGTCGCATGCCTCCATAACGAAGGCCTGCAGGCATCGGATGCGGGGACATTCGTTGCTCGAACGGAGACAGGTCCTCGAGACTGCATTGTGTTTCGGTACTTAATTAGCATAGGATGTAGAAGAAGACTCGTTAAGTGATCCCCCCAAGTGGCGGCAGAGACGCTGACAGGTAGGTTCGCGGTAATGTGCAATTGCGTTCCCACCGGAAACCGACTGAGCGAAACACCTTCTGGTTTTAGTCGGTAAGAGTCCGACATAATCCTCGCCTCCCTGTGAGGAAGGTATGTGAATATTCTGACATAAAAATAAGGCATCATTAAGTCAATATTAAAAGAAGTTAATATAACTCCTGTTTTACGTCTAATTCTTCATTTAATTATAAACATTACTATTATATAATATTATTTTGGTTTTCTTCCAATAAATGTGCCGATATGTATATTACTGTCGTTGGTGATGCCATAATTCTTTGCAGAGAATCCGAGATGTCCAGATTGATGATGTCAATCGCTACGATGACGTAAAGAACAGCCTTATTATCTTAGATTATCGTGGTCACCACGATAATAAATGTTATTATATATTATAATATATAATAATAAATGTTGTTCACGTCGTAAAATCGCAATTTTACAAGGTTTGTATTTCCATTTGGTGATGGCGATGATAATTAAATGTATTTCGTGGTGACTGATTGTTGGTGACCTCGGTGGGTTAGCGGTTACTACTTGGGCGCCAGAGGAACGGTTCAGTTCAATGCCCGATAGGAGTAATTTAGGTTACGAACTTTTTAAATTGGTAATATTACGTTTTATTGAATATCTAAGATAATAAGGCTGTATCCAAACGTCTGCGGTCGGCTTACGTTACTGTACATTTTTCGAAGTGTATAAATGGTATATGTCCTAGGTAAAATAAACCATTAGAAGGAGTGCATGAAAAGTGTCTCCCCGCCTAACGCACCTACGCTCAGCGCACCTTACAATAATCGGCAAGTACCATACGCCGATTGGCAAATTCTTTCACCACGATGGCAAGCTTTATAATGTATGCCATCGATACGATAAGAAGAAGACCTTGTAGTCGGTTCGTCGAGTCAATTCGAGTATAGTCTGTCTTTCTTGAAAATGGAGTAAAATGACATTTGTTAGGTTGCCAGTTATTATAAAATTTTAAATAGTTGTGTAGTTGTCGAGTTTTATCGATAGATTGTGAAAGAAGATAATTTT